ACCATGGAGAACCATGCAATCTTTCAAATGAACTTCAAACACACACTTTTAGAAGTGAGGTTTTTCCCTTGGAGCTAAAAAGCTTGATGTTGTGTACAAGTGTTGTTTTGTTTCTAGTCAAGAACCAGACCAAAGACCTGGCATTGTTTACCTATTTTGTTTATGAATAAAGCTGTTTTTTTTCAAGGATGAAGCACATGTTAATGATCCTGAACATAACAAACCGCTTGAAGGGATGGTGTGGTGTTGGAGGGGCTGAATGCAGAAGTGTTCTGGAGGAAAAAGTCGAGAAAACCATTTTTCATTAACAACAGCTTGTTTTTATTATGTAGAAAATTTAAACCTTTTCTAACCCCAAACTAAGCATCTTTCCCAAAACAGTTTGATGGTCTTTCATAGGAATGGCATTTCCCCTATTCTCTGAACTGTAATTCTCTTATAGTATTGAGGGATTATATAGGTTATAGCTCTGTGATACAAGCTGTTTCCTTGTCTGTCAGTTCATGCCTTGAGAACATTATATACCTGATCTTTTAGATCAAAAATTTTGCATGGATTAAAACATACTACTACTATTACTAGGACTCTACAGAGCAGAAGTAAATATTTTTTTCTTTTTTTTTTTTTACACTGTTGTAATGTGAGAGTCTACATATTTGGATTGTCAGAAATAACAATAATAAAATAATATCAGTCGGGGGGAAAGAGTCTGCACAAGTTGCTGGAGGCATTTCTGACAGAACTTTAGTGCCGCTACAAAATACTGCATGTGTAATGGTCTCACAGTCGTTCTGGATGCTCTGTTGGCCTTACTTCCTTAATAATTTGGACTGAGCAATGTATTGAAATTTACTTCAGGATTCACTTCAGGGTGGCTGGCTGCCGGCGGAGCCCGCGGACTCGTCCCCGCGGCTCCCCGGGGCACCGGCATCGTGGTGGCTGGGGGACTTCCTCTGGGCTGTCTCTCCTCCTCCCTTGGTGGGGTTCTGATTTCCTGGGCTGGTCCCTTCTTGGTGCTTTCTCTCCTGGGGTCCCTTTGGGCGTCTGGGGCTTTGTGTCACCCGGCGGAGGACTCAGTGCTCTGGGGGGGCGCCTCTTTGGCTCTCCACAACCACTATTGAGCATGTTTTCTATGGATAAACTTTACATGCACAAGTACACCCTCACAAACAACTACAGGTGCTTGGTTCCAGGTACTCAGAGATTCACTTCCATACAGAAAGCCCACACTCTTATCTTCAGGTAACACAGAGTACATGTCAGAATAAATAATACTACTTCAGCGATAGTTTCAAGGTGTTGCTTTATTGTATATCTCATACCATTTCTTTTGGTTCTGCTGTTCTTTTTACATTTCGTTGCAGGTGATGAGGCAGACTGAAAATGTTTTATCATTATCTCCTTTCTATCTCCTCTTTCTTTCATCTTTTCTCTTTTTTTTTCTTCTTCTGTTTTTCCCTATCTGTGCTATTTACATTGCAGTGTCCATATAATCTGTAAAACTCCCTGCATAATTATAATAAAGCAATTTATATGCATGAAACAAGAGGAACAATAGGGCAATAGCCCTACTGCTCTACTTGTGAAAGTAAAATCTGTTGGGCTCTTTTTGGCATCAAGACAATTATTCTTATTGCCACATTGCCAGACAGGACACTGTAAAAAAAAAAGAAAAGAAAAAAAGAAATTAAAAATATTTTCGAGATTTTTTTCAAAAGATATTTCCGGAAGAACTGAAAACACTAATAATTTAGTGAATACATGCACATATTAGCTGGTGCGACACAAGAAAAAGTGCGCTAATAATGTCTAAAAATAGTGGCCAGCCAATGTATCAGCCTATGCCTATTTCCAAATGGCTATTATGTGTTGGAAGACTGAAAGTTTTTTGTTTCCCTTTTGCATTCATTTAGGAGATTCTTTTATCTCTACTTGTTTTGCTGTGTTGTTTTAACATTATGCTTGAAAACAATCAGCTTTCACTGCTGTCAAACTTTTGCAATTTAACCCCCCCCCCCCCCCGAAAATAAATTTTAGATTTTAGATTTACCCATTTTTGCTGTGAATTTCAGAAATAAAAACTCACCTAAAATTGAGAAAGTTATATCAATTAATTTTTTTGCTGTGCAGCAAATTAAGAATCCTCCCTCAGACGTCAGACCTTATGGTTACACCAATCTTATCTGCCAACACTGTTGTTTGCAGCCTCCTCTCACTCCAATGCCTCGCCTTGGACTGCCTTTCAACTTGGCTGCCAAGAAAGTGTAACACTGCATGCTTGTCTCATTGGCTCTCAGGAATGATTAGGAACATTATAATGATAAAATTGACAGGAGGTGAAGAGCTGAGTCGGAGCAGATGACCCTGACAGAAAGAGGCTTGAATATTGTCGGCATGTTGTTAATAAGCTGTAGGAGACCCGACGAGTGTTAGTGTAAGAATTCCTTTGCTTGAGCACAAATATGAATTCCTCTCATAAAGTATGTGTGCTTATAAAGATGATGTCAAGCTAAAGAACCGCTTATTGCTGAGTTGAGTGACATGCAGGATTATTGGCCGACGGCAGAAAAAAAAAGCCTTCATCAACGTGAGGCTTAGGCCTGGTCGTTTGATGTTAGACAGAGAGAATCAGAGACAAGATGACTAAAAGTGACTGACAACTGGAGAAGAGGCGAGAGGTTTTGTGTAAAAAATATTGGATCATTACCATACAAGAAGCAATCTCTTGTTTGAAATCTTCTATGCATTTCTCTTGTTCTTGTCACACTTAAGCAATTTATAATTGTGACCTAGACGAAACTTGTAATTGAGCCCATTTTATTTACATGCAACCTTACACAGCTAAAACAAAGTATGAATAAACCAAACTTCTTGATTTGTGAATATTTATCTTCTAAAAAAAAAAAATATCACAGGTTGTTTTTGTCACTGACAAACAAGAGATAACGACTGGTTGAAAACAGAATTTATATTGTTTAAATGTAGCCTAAAGGCAGAATTCAAATTTTCAATAATTTGTTTGATCAGAATAAGCATGATCTCATTGGCAGTGCCAGTGTTCAGCTAGAGGAACATAATGTTTAACCTTAATGTTTGAAGAGGTCTGAACCCTGAGAGAGCAGTGCATTGGAATGTTATTTTGATTAAAGTGATGAAATATGGTAAAATAGGATTTTTCCAAAAGATTGTGCTGTATTGTAGCCTAGTAAACCAGCCCCACCCGCCAGCGGCCAAAATCATTTTTACCTGCGAGTGGTCTAGCCTTGATCAATGCCTCAGGCCCTTTTGCCAACAGGCTGTTTGTTTACACTCCCCCACCAGCTTTCTGTCATGCTTACTATATCACTGTCAGTTGTGCTCATTGGTCAGAGAGTTGGCCAATAGGCACAGATAGCGGTTTGAAAAACAACGGGTTGTTCTCATCAACAATCTTCCGATGTCTAATTCATCGAGGCCAGACTAAATAACACCTTTCATCTCCCATTTAGTCCGGTTTATCAGGCTAGCTGTATTTTACATTTTAGGTAAAACTAATCTATCATGGGGTAGTGGTGGCCTAGTGGTTAGGGCATTGCGCTTCGATCCCAGAGGTTCTGAGTTGAAGCCCACGGACTGCCACTCTGGGTCCTTGAGCAAGTCCCTTAACCTCCACACTGCTCCCTGGGTGCTGCACAATGGCAGCCCACTGCTCTCCAAGGGGATGGTTTGATGCAGAGAGTGAATTTTGTTGCTTTGTTCTTGTGACAATGTAATGACAATAAAGTGGAATTATATTCTTCCTCTATTAATATTGACACTGTAGTTACTGTTTAAAAGGTAAGATGAATTACTGTATAACAGCTTCAAAGGATCCAACTTACCTGCAAAATCTGTTAATTAAGATGGTGTGATTGTTAGTGTCAGTCTATTATCTATTGCCAGCTTGTATAGAAAATTAAGAAAACAATGTGAAATCTACAGTAAAAAAACTTGAACTGATAACATAATATACTCGGCCTATTATAGCCTTTGCTAGTCATGCAGAAGAAAATAGACTTTTAGATGAATTGGTCATGTAAAACATGTCCACATATGGTGCGGCAACAGCTTACAGACATCACATTGGCAATAGCTAACCATGAATTCCTTTTGTTAGGGACTGCGTTGCAGATATTTTAAAGGTTTCTTGATCAGGACATCACTACCCACCATCATCAGCACACAATACCTACAGTGTCACAGTGGGTAGCACTGCTTCCTTGCAGTATGAAGGTTCTGGGTTCTATTCCCGGCCTGGCGTCCTTCTGTATGTTCTCCCTGAGCAGGCGTGGGTTCTCTCCGGGTACTCCGGCTTCCTCCCACAGTCCAAAAACATAACTCTAAGGTTAATTGGCTTCTCTAAATTCTTCTAAGGTGTGAGTGTGTGGGTGAACGATTGTTTGTCTCTCTGTTGCCCTGCGATGAACTGGTGACCTGTCCAGGGTATACCCAGCACCTTGCCCGTATACAGTTGGAGATAGGCACCACCACCACTCGTGACCCCTCTTGGGATAAGAGTGATGGAAAATGGATGGATGATGGATGTTTAAGTGGATACCGGGAAATGACCTTGGTAATTTAAAAAGATACAAATCTATACAACACAGAATTATAGACTTTTAACTGAAAGTTTGTACAAAAATGCAAAATTGATAATTGTTTATTTAATAGGTATACAAGACGTTACATTTAGAGTAAATCTGTTCAGTGACTGAGATGCCAGGACTCAAAGAAAGTGGTGGGGGGATTGTTATTATTATTGTAAACAAAGCAAATGTGTCCAGAACATGTAAGTTAATCATAATCAACACTGTTATTGAAAAAATACAGGCTGTGTTTTATGCAGGAATATGTTGTGAGTGTTTTTCAACTTTCATCATGCACATTTTAATTAGCCATGGAGCAGAACTTTTCAACTTTGTACATATAAAGTAAATGTTCTACATCTTTCTTTCTTTCTTTTTGTTTTTCTCCACTTTTAGGTCACTTTCTTGGGAACCACAGTATTCTGGACATACTCAGGCAGGAGGGCTATGAAATTGTCCACCTTCCATCTGACCAACAAGGGCAACCTACAGAGTAAGTGAGAAGAGAGGGCAAACTGCTGTGTTGCAAACAAAACCTGAGCCCCATTTTATAAGAACAATAAATGTTTTAAATGTTCCCAGATTTTGTTAGGCTACAACAACAAATTGAATTTATTGTGAGAGTCTGTAACAGTCCAAAATGTTTTCAAGTGAAAAGAAAATGCTGCCATAATTCAAAATATTTAATCACAATTGTTGAAAAAGCCCAAAATGTGTTTTTATTCAACCAAATTTACTATGAGACTCTTTAAAAAAAACTATACAACTAATTGCTTTCAGACACCCACTCAATTGATAAACTTCTAATTCAAGTAGTAAAAATAGAGGTTAGTATCAGGGAGACCAAAAAATGTAGTAGAAAGAATGGGCCTGATATTTATGTAAAACACATTTATTGAGGGTTCAGGTTGTACAACCATGTTCTAACATTTCAACATCTTATAGAGTGTGATTTAATCCTTCATCTAAAAATGGAAAAGTGTGACACAAGTAAATGGTAAATGGCATGTACTTATATAGCGCCTTTATTCAAGTTAGGAGACTTGACCAAAGCGCATTACACTACTGTACATTCATTCACCCATTCACGCACACACTCACACACTGATAGTGGCAAGCTACATTGTAGCCACAGCTGCCCTGGGGCTCACTGACAGAAGCGGAAGTGCAAACCCAAGACCTGACTATTTAGCTAAACTGGTAAAGGCCGGACAATATCTCTGTTGGAGCTGCAGAGAGGAAGGTACTCTGCTAAGAAAACACTAAAAGAATTATTTTGTAAGGGGTGGAGGGTGAACAAAGATATAGTCAATCCTAAAATAAAACATTTAGGACTCGGGTAGTGGCCCACTAACAGCAGTTATTTAGGAGAATATTATTTCTATGATTAAAGAGGGCAAACAAATGTTCCTCAGAGTTTTACATATTATATTTAAAATTATTTAAAAACGGATCACCTTTTGTTCACTTCACATTTCTTCAAAGTTTGTATTACTGCAAGTTAAAATATACCAATTAGGTCAAAGGTTACAAACAGTTTTAGCATTGTTAATGAACTTTCCTTTTCTTGTTCCAGTTAACTAATTATTAGCAGTGAGCCATTTACAAACAACAAATAAATAATACTTCATACCAGACAAATGCAATGCAAAGCTTGTGATATGACATAAAATTATACTTATGGTGTGAATCATCATTACTTCAGTAACTGTAGTCTATTTCTTCTCCACCACCCTCTGCTCTGGTGCTGCCAAAGAAAGCTGCAAAATAGTTGTTCTGACTGTTCTCCCCACAGCACACATGCCCACACACGTGCTTGTTGGAATAAGTAGGATGATGTACAATGCCAAAGAACAAAGCGGGGCAGTATTGCACACACTTAAGCTCCCAGATGTTCACTGTATGCAAGAAGCACACAGAAATTCGAGTTGGCTAGGCTAAATGTCTGAAAGATCTATCTGCCAACCAGTCTTTGACTCTGTCTACCTCTTGGCATTCGCTCTTGGCACACTGCAGCTTCCCTGTTTCATTGGGCCTTCACTGAACTGCCCATAAAACAATATCAACAGCAAATTATTTCAGGGTAAAGAGTTAAAACTAAAGCAACATACATCAAGAATGATCATTTTTGCAACAGTAAAAACATCGCAATCAATCAATCTAGAGCATTTACAAAGTTTTCTTGGATTATTAAACTTTGAAAGTAACCCTATTTCCTTCTTTTGCAGTTGAAACCTTCAGCCAGCAGTGGTTTGTGCTGTAAATTCTGACAAGCCGGCTGACTCGCTGTGGTCACAAAATATTATACATGCATCCAAAATATACTCTTGAACCTTCCTGATTTGAGATGAGACAAAATGTGCGTAAAACCAGTCTGAGATGGCTGGATGACAGGTGTTTATAAAAGCTGTATGCCTGAGCCCTGGATTGTTTCAAACTGACTACCAAAAATGACCTAATGACTAATACTACAGTGCGGCAGACAGCACTATTTAAAGCTAAGTTTGGCTCTACAGCAGCTTGACTGCGGGGCTGATGATATTGTCACACTGATTCAGCCATCAGGATCTGAAAGGAAGACTGGAAATTAAAATGACTGGAAAAGCAAAAATACCTGTTAAGCAGTTCAGTTGAAATACAACTTAAAGGCTGAAATTGTCCACAGTCAGTTAAAATTTTTCAGTCGCAATTATTTACATAAAAAACACAATGTTTAAGGATCAAACAGATTTATTGAGCAACCTGCTCTACACCTAGGCCAAAAATTAACAAGTGGCCAAAAATAATTTTTCGCTAAAACTCCTTGTCATGATTCTGCACTTTGTGGACTTCAGTTTAAGTTTCTTTTTAATTTTGAAGTTGCACATTGATTTTTTTTGTCATTTTGTGTTATTGGTTTATTTTCCATTTTGTGTTATATTTAAGCAGTGTTGTATTCTGTTGTAGAGAAAATAGTGAAGCTATATACTTTAGTATTAGGATGTTTTTATTAATGTCACCTCCTAGTATCTGAATATTATTAGCTAATCATGCAATCTTTAATTCAGAAAATGATTGTTTTTTCAATGAAGGACATATTGCCTGGTCTTTGATTTCATATAGTGGATTATTTTTATTATCACCTCTCTCAAAACATATTAAAACTATATATACTGTACTGGGTAACTTACATTATTCTGGTATTTTATAAAAATAGTTGGTCAGTTATAGCTCTTTTAATATTGGGGCCATTTTCATTAAATTTGCATGATCTCCTTGTTAAATAAAAGATTATCTCTTTGTATTGTGGCCTTCTTACATGGTCCAACAATATGCATTTAGGGTAGGTCATCTATGGTAACTGCCTTAGGGTTTAATTAAGATCTTTAATTTAACCGGGTATTAAATTAATATATCATTGTTTTAAGCATCACTATAAGGGAAATTGTTGACTTTAAAACATAAAGTCGTATTGAATCTAAATTGATTTTGTAAAAAAGAAAATGTTTGTGTTATAGACATAGGAAAGATGAGTACTTAGAGATTTTAAGGAAGAATCTGGGTGGTCTTTTTTTGGCCAAAGTGTTAGTCTTGGTAGACAAAATATGGAAACCGCGAATGTTGAGCTTTTCCCTGATTTTGGCTGCTTTGAATGCAAGCCACTAGGGGGATCATTAATAGTGTGAGAGTTTCCTTGTGGTGTTCATGTCCTTGATTTAAATTGGGATATTTGACGAGAAAAGTGACTGAGTGGTCAAAAACCACTAAAAAATAACATTCATTAGCTGCAGGTTGAAACTGCAGGAAAGTGTGCAACAGCACACAAAAGACCTTGTAGTTTCCAATAGCTGTGGAACAAAATTGTTTTAGAGAAACCTCTGATTATGTTAGGGTTTATACGATGAAATTTTTCATTAATTGATTCCATGCGTGTCCTCTTCTGTTCCAGGACTAAACGAGATCCAGAACCGCCTGCAACTAAGTCTGTTGAGGAGCCTTCAGACACCAGCATAGTGACTCCCACTACCTGGTCAACCTTTCCGGAGGATGAGATGGAAGATCCAGACGATGTGCCTGCCCTAGAGGGGGAAGAACTGACTCACATGCTGCTCCCCGACAGCCTGAACCAGCTGGAAGAGTTTGGACGACACAAACGACCCCACAAAACTCACCACAGCCATGGGAGGCCCCGACTCTTCAGTGACCTGTGGGTTCGCATAGGGGATAGGTGAGCCGTACTATGATAAAGGTTTAAACATACTTCACCGACCAGTTACCTTTGAAACTTTATGTAATTACTTTCAGTTCAGTTAATTTACATAGCATCACTGCACAACAGATAGAATCCCAATGCAGTTTACAAGACAGTTTGGATCCATATCCAGATAATGCAAATTTATATCCAAATTAATCCAGTTTGTTCCACTTATTAGGATTTAGGTCGATCACACCCATTCTCCACTCAATTCACTAGCTTCCTGTTTCTGCAAGAATTGAATACGTCACTATTCTCACCCACCAGTGCATCTATGGAAATGCCCCTATACCTGAATGAAGTGTTAACCCCTATCACTACACCATGATCAAAACGCTCAAACCACCTCCTCCTCCCCAAGATTAAGCTAAATACTATGGGCGACCGTGCCTTCTGCTCTGCCCCCCTAGACCTGGAACGCCCTCCGTGATTATTTGAGGAGACCACAGATAATCCAGACTTTTGAAAGAGGATAAAAACTTTTCTTTTTAGCAGAACTTATGACTGTTAACCTTTTATAATTGTGCCTTATTTATTCATATGTACTTTACAATGATGTTTAGTCTTTAATTTCTTGCTTTTACCTTTCTATGATGATTTTACCTGTAGGACTTTTAGATTTTTCTTAAATGTAAAGTGCATTACAAATTACATTTATTATTATTTTTATTATTATTATTATTATTAATAATAATAATAATAATAATGATACCAGTAATAATAATAATAATAAAAAGAGAAAATACATCCATTGTGCAACATTATGCACGAATGTCACAATAGTCAGTGTTGGGATGTTACTTTAAAAAGTAAATAGTTATAGTAACTAATTACTTCTCCAAAAAGTTTATGAATTAGTAACTGGGTTACTTCACAATCATCTTAACTAATTACTGATCAAAGTAACAATTTCATTACTTTTAAGGATCAAAAATGTTAGAGAAACTTTCCCATTACCTGAGCTATAAATACAAATGCAGTTTCAAAAATGGAATATACAATGTTTGTTATTAATACTGAATTAAGTTGTTAATTAAAAGAATGACACATCTGAAAACAAAAAAGCTGCATCATTTTGTTGTAGATTGGGACAAGTGAGTTGCAAAATAATATAGATTTTATGTTTTAGTTTATAATAAAATATCAATAAAATCAATGCAATGCTTAAGAGCTTTATAATTTTGCAAGGTGACAGTATTTAACATGCTGTAAATTATTTATAAAGCTGAAAAAATTATTTTGAAGCAATCTACCAAACATAATATATACTTTGCAATAGAATTAAACAGCTCTACACTATTCAAGTAAAAAAAAAAACAGCATTTCTTTATGAAACCATGCAAGTGGTTTAAGCACGATAAGGAGAAAGTAAAGAATCTGTGTTCATAAAAGCAGCAGCTGTCAGTGGGTTTTGAGATGATGTAGGGTGCTTCTTTAGATCAAAATCGCTTTTAAATGACATGAAGTCTTTGTTCCAGCACATTACCAACAAATCACAGGAACATTTAGCCTTTGTCTTCTGTGAGCACATTTTTTTAGAGAAAGTCCTACCTTTTCATAAGGGTCTCTGCACCATCATGTCTCCTCTCAGTGTGTCCAAGGCTTGCTGAACACCTGCCCACATTACAGCTGCTCAACCAATCAGCACACATGATGTTTGTGCATCTCCCTGCTCTGCCTTCTGTAAAAATGTCCCATTGCAGTATGAGAGAGAGAGCGCTTAGATTGCAAATAATGTAAAGGCATTACCAATATAAGAAAGGAATTTAGTTAGATTACTCTTTCAAGTAAAATGCTGTTAATATGTAACACAGTAACTTTCAAAACTGACAAAGGTATTGAAGTATTTACAGCATTTTATATAAATACCCTACTCCTTGTCACATTCATGTGTTTATCTGTAGTATGAGTCATCCTGTTGATTACTGATGAGTGGAGCAATGGTAAAAAATATATATTTCATGCACTTTGATTTAGAATTAAGAGGGCTTATGAACATTTGCTTATATGACAGGTCCTCGTGTAGAGTTATGAATCAAAGCATGTCGCATAAGAGAATAGAGGAAAAACATGGTCTGGTTACCCGTTTCAGGGGAGGCCCTAGTTAAAAAAAGTCAGAGCTTCAAAACCCTTAAAGTTTCCTATCATACCTTTTCTGCAGTAAAACAATTTTTCAATGAATCTCGTCGGGTGAGAGTGCTCAGGTTATGAGCAGCTGTGGTATCATAACCCCTCCATTGTGAACCTCTGTGTACTGTAGCTCCTGGCTCTTCAGGTTAAATAAAAGCTGAAGGTGGGGAGCGGACTGAACTTTTCCTTGTGCTTCGGCCCTTTCATACAGGTCACATTACACGCAGCCCTGCACTTGGAAACTTATTAAAGTCGTTTATATGGGAAATTTTAGCATTGGCTTGGAGGAGGATGATTGTCCAAATGCATTTGCATAGTTGCAGCCAGAGGAAGCAATACAACTAGTATAATACGACATCCATTGCCATTTGCTATATTCAGAGTAAAGTTTATGCCATTGTAAAATGAACAAGGTACCTTTAGTTTGAAACATCATGTGAAACAACTGCTACCACCATGTTACTGAGGCAGACTATTTTTGTTAAGGGTTTTGTTCTTGTCAAACAAGAGCATTTTAAAATTGTAGGAATGTATGTTTGATTATTTGATTCGTTTTAAGTGAAAGTATTTATTAGCTTCATATCTGTAGCCATGCACTTTGTGTACACTTGATCATACTTGTAATTTCTGCCACTTCTTTGTGTATGTATCAATTTTTGTAGGTGCCCGGATCATATGAATATTCATATGAGATTCATATGGGAATTAAATTACATCTGTGTTCTAAAAACAGCTTCTAACAAAAACTAAAATTAACTACAACTACAAAGATTATGCTGAAGATCAGTCCAATTCTGCAAGTATTAGATTTTATTTGTTTTATTCAGACATTTCAGTTATAGAGCTGTAATAATAATAATACACTAAAATTTTTTATATCTTTGCTTAATGTTAATATACCTTCAGATTTTCTTACCAGCCCTTTCCTAGGCAAGAAAATTGATGTCTGAGCAGAACTATGATGCAATCTGGCTTTCAGTCCCCCACCTCACCCATCTGTGGGGCCAGTTTTGCTTGCCTATAAAATGTAAATATGGGTCAGGGACTGCACTGCACTTTTTCCCAAGTTTTTTATTTGATTTATTTTTTATAAGATCATGACATTTGCATGCAAAGTGATGTACACACGTTTCAGGCCGTTTAATGGACTCTGGTCCATTAACACAAGTTATTATTATTAACATAAACAAATCTACAACATCAGCAAAAAAATAAATAGTTACATGCTTTTTTATGAACAGCATAAACCTTTAAAGAAGAATTTTATAATATCAATTCTATCAAATGTTGAACTTCATTGAATAGTATAGGCACAAACTTAGGTGGTTGAGGCTATGAGAATATTGTGGTAACTTTCTGCAGCAATGTTTCTATGCTTTAATAACCTCATAACCTGATTGAAATGTTTCAGATTACACATTTTTTACAGGATGTAAAAGAACTAAGGGGATCAAATATGGGTTAGGCTATGCAAAAGCTAAATACATTTGGTCTTAAAATGAAAGTTTAGACGTTTTTTGTTTGTGTGGTTCAGTTATAAAAAGCAATACCTTAACTCCAACAACCAGTTGTCTGAAAACCAGATTGTTACTCTAGTTAATTAGCTTAATATGTTCAGCTCTGCAATAGTTAGTCTACAGTGTTCTAGATATTTCATTTAGTAAATGGCTTTCTATGAATAATAATAAATATTCAACGTCATTTTTTTTTTTTTTTTTTAAGATGGCAGAAAGTGAAATACAGTATTACCATTCTTATTACTTGATAGCTGGAAACTGCATTTGGGATTTTTTAAACTGAGACAATTCTGAAGCCGGTGTATTATGACACATAGCTACCTTCACAGAGCCTGGATAAAAAAGAAAAAAAAAGAAATTATTTTAATGTTTATCTTTTTAATGTTTCTTGTAATAGTGACCCATATTATAAACGCAGCTGACAGGAAGTGGAGTTAAGAGAGAGAGAAGATATGTGGCAAAGGACCAGGACAGTCTGTCAAGGATTAAACCTCCATAAATTAGTCGTTCACTTTACCCCATACCACCACAATGCCCTAAGCACACTTTTAAATAGGATGACTATATTGGATTTATTACTAAAAATAATATTACCTATACGAAAACTTTACACTGTGTGCAGAATTATTAGGCAAATGAGTATGTCGACCACATAGTCCTTTTCATACATGTTGTCCTACTCCAAGCTGTATAGGCTTGAAAGCCAACTACCAATTAAGTAAATCAGGTGGTGTGCATCTCTGCAATAAGAAGGGGTGTGGCCCTAATGACATCAACACTCTATATAAGCCGTGCTTAATTATTAGGCAGCTTCCTTTCCTTTGGCAAAATGGGTCAGAAAAGAGATTTGACAGACTCTGAAAAGTAAAAAATTGTCAGATGTCTTTCAGAGGGGTGCAGCAGTTTGGAAATTGCCAAGCTTTTGAAGTGGGATCATCACACAATCAAGCGGTTCATGGCAAACAGCCAACAGAGGCGCCATAAGCATGTTGAAAAAAGAGGATGCAAAATAACTCCCCATGCATTGAGAAGGATCAAGAGTGAAGCTGCCAGGAAGCCATTAGCCACCAGTTGTGTTATATTTCAGAGCTGCAACATGTCTGGAGTGCCAAGAAGCACAAGGTCATCACAAGCCGAAAAAAGGCCACCCTTGAACAAAACACACAAGACAAAACGTCAAGATTGGGCCAAGAAATATCTGAAGACTGATTTCTCCAAGGTGTTTTGGTCTGATGAAATGAGAGTGAGTCTTGATGGGCATCAGGCTGGATCAGTAAAGGGCAGCAACTTCCTTATCGACTCAGACACCAGCAAGGTGGAGGTGGGGTACTGGTATGGGCTGGTATCATCAAAGATGAGCTTGTGGGACCTTTTCGGGTTGATGATGGAGTCAAGATCAACTCCCAGACCTTCTGGCAGTTTCTGGAAGATGCCTTCTTCAAACAGCGGTACAAGAAGAAGTCGGCATCATTCAAGAGAAACATGATATTAATGCAGGACAATGCTCGGTCGCAAACATCAAAATACACCACAGCGTGGCTGGCCAGAAGAAGTCTAAAAGGAGAAAAAATAATGACATAGTCCCCTTCACCTGATCTGAACGCCATTGAGAACCTGTGGTCCTTCATGACATGTAAGATCTACAGGGAGGGAAAACAGTACACCTCTCTGAACACAGTCTGGGAGGCTGTGGTGGCTTCTGCACGAAATGTGGATCGCAAACAGATCAAGACACTGAAAGAATCTATGGATGGAAGGCTTTTGAGCGTCATGGTGTAGAAAGGTGGCTATATATGGTCACCGATTTGTTTTTGTTTTTTTTGTTTTTGAATGTTGCAAATGTTTATTTCTGAATTTTGAGTTGTTATATTGGTTTACCTGGTGAAAATATACAAGTGAAATGGGTAGAAATTTTGTTTTTTATTACGTTGCCTAATAATTCTGTACAGTAATATTAATAATAATAATAATAACACACAGACATCCTCATAAAATGACCAAATCTTAAAAAAAAACAAAAAAAAACACATCAACTTCCAAAAATATGAAACTTTGATATTAAGGAGTATTTTGGGTTGATTGAGAACACAATTGTGGCCCAATAATAAAAATAATCCTCAAAAATACAACTTGCCTAATAATTCTGCTCACGGTGTATAGACAGCACAAAAAAAATAAAACTCTGTCTTTTCAAACATTTACTAAATGTTTGTTAAAATACAGACAACAGCCCATTGTAGTTGCACATGTACATAATTCAGTGGTATATATTTTTAAACTCCAAAAGATTAACCATTATTTTATATTTATTTTTGGCAAGAAATGTAAAAAAAAAAAAAAAAAAAGCTTTAAGCAAATGATTTAATGAGCTGTTTCTTTTATCCTTCCACCAGCACACCACCACCTAATGTGAGGATAATCAACGGGTATATAACAGTGGAGCCTCCGCTCACCCGTCAAGAACAGCAGAGGCAGTTGGATGTCTACTCTACAGAGCAACACGCTGACAAAGAGCACAACTTCAGTACAGCCCCGCTGGCTCACACGTCACTCACCCTGTCTTGTATTTTAGCCTGGTTTTTATCACACATGCTACTCACCTCCTGACCATAAAACAGTTATCTCACAGACAGACAATCAAGAAACCACTACATCCATAGCGGAGCAGACAAATGTACCTGATAAAGGCAAACAAGGATGGTCATCATCAGCAAGTAAAGACAAAGGATGAAGAGAAGTTCCAGCCTGGTCTTCAGAGAGCCTTCACCACAGTGATCAACGTCCAATACAAGGAAAGAAGTTGTTAATGATGTCACAATCAATGAATGGACCGTAGAAAATGTCTAAAGCCTCTTGAACTATTTGAATAATAAATAGAAGGGTGAACTAACTTAAAGAATTGGAATCTTAAAGCTAATAAAATTGTAATATTGAGTAGAAATTATTTACTTTAACAATGAGATCTGAACAGATCAGAGACAGTTGCAGCGCTGTGCTGAATAGCTTCATTGCATACAGTGGTGTGAATGAGGGATCGCTTTGTAAATTGTGAATGTGTTTATACAGAAAAATTGCATTGTATTTATTAATTCTGAAAAGCAGAGTATATTTTCTTGGTATTTCATAAATAGAAAACAAAACACTAATGAAGTGTGGGCTCTTCTTTACAGTGGATGTACAAATTGTGAATGGAAATTTTTATAAAAAAGAATACATAAAAGCCTGTTTCACAAATGGGATCCTAACAAAAGCAAACATGCCTCCTGATTGATTTCAAAATATATTATATTTTTTTAAGATACAAGAAAATTATCACTACAGATTTCTGAAGCTTCAGGCTTTTTTTTTTTTTTTTTTTTTTTTTTTTTTTTTCAGGATACAGAAAATACTCTTTGTCTAGTGATTTGGATATAGTTCATTAGTGCAAAAAGATTAACCAAAGAGAGACTGAGAGCTATTAGCCTATTCAAATTGAAAAGGAAAACTTGTGGAAAAGTTGGTCACGGTCTGCCCTCTGCTGGTTAGGGTTGAGACAAATATTGACATTTGAAACATTTTTTGGTTTGTTTTTGATACCTGCAAAGGCATCAGAAATAACTGGGGGCTATTAATAAAAAAAAAAAACAATAAAATCGTACTTTCCTTGAAAAGTAGCATAGAGTTTTAGTTCTATCAGGTTATAAACATATCATATAGAGTTATAAAGATATCGACTGACAGAACATCAAACAGTGTGAAATATTGTTCAGTGGTGTTGACAAAAAAAGTCTGAGTCTTATTTAACAAGAAATTAAGATTTTGTGTTTCTTCGTTCAAGCCAACATTTATTAAACCTTGCAAGGGAAAACAGATAGAATTGTTGCCAATGTTCCTGCCTGTTCTGGTCAAACAGGATTTCACTAACTACTTAAAGCCTGCATACATTAACATACAATTAATCAACAAGTTACAGATGGTGGACAAAAACAGTAAAATATTAAATAAAGCTTGAGAGTTAGGAGTCTAAACTGTGATTGGAAAATATACCTTCTGTTCTATTGTCTTCGGTTCTGTATAAAACAACTCCTCCAACCCAGACACTGCGGAGCCTTGCAGGTGTGAGACAGCCTGAGTGAATACTTTTATAAAGTAAGTAAATGAAAATGAGCACTCATATCAAAATATTATGAAGGGATTTGATATGAAATTGGTTTTCCTGACTACAATGGTTTAAAAAGTTATACTTGGTTCAACATCTTATTTTATACTGAAAAGTGTGGGAGGCATTTGCATTCAGATCCTGCTACTTAATAAAATCTTTTTCAGCCTTATAGGATCCACATCTAATAATGCACTTTTATCTGTGAAGACACACAGGTGGATCCTTGTCAGTAACACTGAACCTGTCTGTCATTCAATCATGCAGTCATCTGTAAAAGCCACCAAGGATTTTAGGGAGAACACAAGTGTTTTTAAAAGCAGGTAGGAGTATAAAATAATATGTGATGCTTTAAATAGGAAGAAGAATATTATCTTCTTTAAAGATATTTTAGGATAAGATATGCAATTTATATAGTAATTATACTTGACAAATGCAATGAATATTGTGTGAATACTTTTATTTCTGTACTTGAAATGGAAATTAAAACTACAAATAATAAAATGTAACTGTAGGAAGATCTAACAAGTTTACAGATAACATGACACAACTGCAAAGCCTCTGGGATTTGGATNAATATCCACATTAATTAAGGATATGGGACGATAGCTGGTCGGAAACATAGGATCTTTGCCTGGCTTAAGCAGGAGACTAATGGTGGCAGAATTCATATTAACTGGATATTTTCCATTATCTTGAGTTTCCTGCAGCATTCTGTGGAACGTTGGGGCCAGAGTGTCCCAGAACTCTATATAGAACTCAGTAGGGAACCCGTCTGGACTTGGCGCTTTATTGTTTGGCATGTTTTTTAATGCTTCCTGAACTTCAGCTGTAGACAGCGGTGAGTCCAGGGTCACTCTTTGACTCTGACTTTGACATTATCTGATGGATTTAACTGTGATGTGTATAAAGATTTATAGAAACCTCGGAAGGCATTGTTAATATCCTCTGGATCCTGTAATATATTACCAATGAGTCTGTAACTGCAAATATAGTCGTTTTTTCTTTGTTTATTTTTCGCTGATTAGGTAAGAAACTTCCTGACTTATTGCTATGTTCAACGTTATCAATTCGAAGTCTTTGAATTAAAAATTTATTTTGTTTTTCAATATATTTGTTTAGTGCTAGTTTTATTTTACGGATTTACCCTAATTTTTTCTCATCTAGCGAGCTTTCTATAAACTTAACTTTTTCCTCTAATTCCTGGATCTTTTTTTGTTTTAACTTTTTTTTATGAGATTAGAATGAAATAATTTTACCTCTCATCAGTGCTTTACCTGCTTCCCATAGTATAGATGCTGATGTTCCTGGTAAATCATTGCACACCAAGTATGATGCCCACTCTTCCTTGAAAAATTTGAGAAACTCTTCATCTTTAAGCAGTGATGTATTTAATCTCCAGCTCTTGTTTTGTGGGGCTATTATTTATTATTTATTATGGTTAAAGTAACAGGAGAATGATCACTGGCAGCAATAGGATGAATTGCAGCATCTGAGACATCAGACAGCAACGAGCTGCTGATTAGGAAATAGTCCAAACGAGAGTA